CAGCGCTTACCAGAGCACATACCCTCCCCAGTGTCTATCACCCAGTCACCCCATCCCTCCCACCCCACCCCCCACTCCAGCAACCCTCAGTTTGGGGAACTTGTGTTTGGTATTTCATATGCCCGACACTAGTGTAAATAATCTCAACAAATACTTATACAGCACCAGACAGGATTGCAAAGTGAATAAAACCTGGTCCCTGTGGTCATAGTCTTCTGTACAAGACGGACATGGGAATCTACAATTAACTGTGAAAAGAGCCATGAGAACCCAGTAGAGAAACATGAAATCAGACAGGGAAACAGGGTTAGCTTTCTCCCTGATAATAAGAAGGAAGGCAATAAGAAGGAAGATGTGGGAAGGTTTTGAATGAAAGGTTTAGAGTGAGTAAGTTGGTGCAGGTGCAGCCTGTAGGAGCCAGGAAGCCAAGAGAATTAGGCTGGAGAAGTCATGTGCACTTTAGAGTCTTAGATCTGGCTTAGTTCCTGGAAGATCCTGTTTTCCAGATAAGGAAACCGATGCTCACTGAGACACTACTGTGCCCCGGGTCACACAGCAGGCCCCACATCTCTCCTCTAAAGGATGTCGGAATTATAAGGAATACAACAGGGAAAAAATTGGGTGCCCCCATCCAACTTTTCGGAATTTTGTGGAAACCAGGGAAGTGAGGGAGTGGTGGTTTCTCTGAACCCTGACTGCATTGGTACAGGCAACCATGCTGTTGGCGAGGGTCGTGTATGGAGTAAAGAGGTTGTGACTTGAGTTCAAATCCTGACTCCTCCGGGGACTAGCTCTGTCACCTGGCACCATTTGCCCACGCTCTTGAACCTTCAGGTTCTTCATCTGTAAAAGGGTGGTGATAATGTTTATTGAATGCTTATTATGTGCAAGACAGTCCTGTGAGGTAGGTATTGTTATTACTGTCCTCATTTTACAGATGACGATCCTGAGGCATGGGGTTTTAGGAATGTGCCCAGGATCACCCAGCCAGAAACTGATAGAGCTGGAATTTGAACCCAGACACTGGGTTGACTTCACTGTGCTGCCCTTTAGAGCTGTTGTGGGGATTAATTGCTTGATTCATGCAAAGTGCTTAAAACAATACAAAAGATTGATAAGTACTCAATAAATGTTGGCTGCTACTTCATTGTCACCATTGTTTAAATCCCTGTTCTGTAGGGTATTTGAAAGATTAGAAACTATACGAATAAATAAAGGCAATGACTTTAAGACTTAAATCCAGTAACACCCACTGTTTTTAACCTTTTGAGGAACCACCATACTGTTTTCCAGAGTGGCTGCGCCAGCTTGCATTCCCACCAACAGTGCAAGAGGGCTCCCCTTTCTCCATGTCCTCGCCAACACCTGTTGTATCTTGTGTGGTTAATTTTAGCCATTCTGACAGGTGGGAGGTGGTATTTCATTATAGTTTTGATTTGCATTTCCCCGATGATGAGTGATGTTGAGCATCTTTTCACATGTCTATTGGCCGTCTGTAGTCTTCTTTGGAAAAATGTCTTCTGCCCATTTTTTAAATTGGGTTATTTGTTGTTCGGGTGTTGAGTTGTATCAGTTCTTTTTATGTTTTCAGTACTAAGCCTTTACCAGATATGTCATTTGCAAATGTCTTCTCCCATTCAGTAGGTTGCCTTTTAGTTTTAGTTGTTTTTTTTTTTTTAAGATTTTATTTATTTGCAGAGAGAGACCTAGCGAGAGCAGGAACACAAGCAGGGGGAGTGGGAGAGGGAGAAGCAGGCTTCCCGCGGAGCAGGGAACCTGATGTGGGGCTCGATCCCAGGACTCTGGGATAATGACCTGAGCCGAAGGCAGATGGTTAACGACTGAGCCACCCAGGCGCCCCTGCCTTTTAGTTTTGTTGATTGTTTCCTTCACTGTGCAGAAGCTTTTTATTTTGGTGATGTCCAATACTTTATTTCTGCTTTTGTTCCTTTGGCCTCCAGAGACATATCTAGTAAGAAGTAGTTATGGCCCACAACCAAAAGTTAATGCTACAAATTTTTGAGTGCTTACCACATGCCAGGCACTGTTACAAGCAAAGGAGGAGCAAAATATTCAAAAATTTCCTGCTCTCAGAGGGATTTCATTCTAGTAGGAGGAGATAGCCAATGAACAAATTAAATAAGTAATACATATATGATAACATGTACCATGGGGAAAAATTAAGAAAGGAGGATAAGGAATGGGAGGAGGTTGCTGTTTTAAAGACAGCAGTCTGGAAGTGCCTCACTGAGAGATGAGATTTAACCACAGACATGAAAAGTGCAAGTTAGCCATGGAGCAATCTGGGGAAAGGGCCTGCCAGACAGAGAATGGACATACAGAAGCGTTTAGAAGAGCATGCCTGTGGATTCAAGGAACAGGTGGAGGTCAGTAAGGTTGAAGTCTGAGAAGGTGAGGCAAGAAGTAATAGGATAGAGGTCAGAGACCATATCCGGCAGTTATGATAAAACTAGGTGGTGGGTGCAAGAGGGTTACAGGATTCTCTCTACGTTTAAATATTTACTGAATTAAAAACAAGGCAGTTTTCTTAGTCTGCTCAGGCCTCTGTAACAAAATGCCGTAGACTGGGAGGCATAAACAATAGACATTTCTCATAGTTCTGGAAGCTGGGAAGTGTAAGATCAGGGTGCCAGCATGGTTGGGTTCTTGGTGAAGACCTTCCTGGTTTGCAGACAACCACCTTCTTGCTGTGTCTTTACATAGTAGAGAGAGTAAAAGGAAGCTCTGGTCTCTGACTTTCCTTATATGGGGACTAATCCCATCATGCGGCCCCACCCTCATGACCTTCTCTAAACCTAACTACCTCCCAAAGGCCCTACCTCCAAATACCACCACACCGGGGATTCAAGCTTCAACATATGAATTTGGGGGACATGCAAACATTCGGTCCATAACAGTAATTATGGATTTTGATGAAAGTTTTGAAGGAAATAGAGGGAAGTGATAGGGAGTAAGGAGAGTGTGGTGGGTAGGACACAGTTGGAGTATCAAGTGATGGGGAATGCCTCATTTAAGAAGGTGATATTTGAGCTAAGACATGATGGAAGAGAAGGAGTCATCCACTGAAAGAGTCAAAGGAAGAACATTCTGGGCAGACAGCACTCACTGTAAGTGCAGTGGCCCTGAGACACTGGAGCTAGAGCGTAGTGCACCAGGACTAGAAGTTGGAGAGGTGGGCAGAACATTTAAGTCCTTGCAAGTCCTGGTAAGGAGTTTGGATTTCATTCTAAAGGTATTTAATTTATTCTAAGGGTTTGGGCAAGTCAAGTGACCTGGTCAAATTTATATTTTTGGAAGATCACTCATTGCTGTGTGGAAAAGGACTGCTCAGGTAATCTGTCCTCAGGCTTGAAAAAAAAATTTTTTTGACAGAGCAGGGGAGGCGCAGAGGGAGAGAATCTCCAGCAGGCTCCACACCCAGCAAGGAGCCAATCCCACCACCCTGAGATCATGATCTGAGCCTAAGTCAAGAGTCAGATGCTTAACCCGCTGAGCCCCCCAGGCACCCCAAGGCTTGAAATTTCTAGACACCCTCTCTAAAAACCTGGGAGCTGTTCTTCACTTAACAGTCTTTCTCCTCCTCTAACTGATTCCTCCGTTCCTGCCGCTGAATCTGGCAGGCTTCTTACTGCCTCTGCCAGAGATGCGTCCTGCACACAACCATCCCAGCTTTCTTTGGATCACGGCAGGGAACACCATTTTCTCCTATTTACTTCCTTCCTCCTTCGTAGGCCCCAACTGTATATCTTTCTAATCTGGCTAATCCCCTGACTCCTCCGCTCAAGACCTCTGGTTGGGGTAGGAATGGTTATTTCTCTTTGTAGTTTGTTGTGTCTTTAAAGTTAAAAACAAACGAAATACCCAGTTCTCCCCATTGCCTGGAGCATAAAGTCCAAGTTCCTTGTACAACATATTTCATGATCTGGGATCTGTTTGCATTTCCAGCTTTATTTCTCAGCACTCACAGCCTCACGCTTTATGCCCCATTCACTCTAAACGGCTTAAAGTTACCCCCAGATACATCACATCCCTCCTCACTTGTGTGTTTTTGCTAATGCTCTTGCTGCTGCCTGAAACCATAGTATGAGCACACTGGGTTCACATTCCAGCCCAGTAACTTTTAGTGTAAGATCCCAAGCAAGTTACTTAAATTCCCTATGCCTTGATTTTTTCAAATCTGTGGATCAGGGATAATAATAGCATACATCCCAAAGGGTTTGGAAAGGGTCGAATAAGCTAATGCATGGGAAGTTCCTGCCACTACATTTGACTCATTTCTGTCTCGTACACTAGTTTGTGAGAATAGGGTCTGTGTCTTTTATTTCTGTATAGCCTTGACTTTTACATAGTGCCTGGCATATAGTAGATGTTCAATAAATGCTCATTCATTGAATTAATTAAAGTCAATCACTTCCATTTATGAATTTATATTATGTTTTCCCGCTCTTTGTATTTCATTCATCTTAAAAACTATCACAAGCTGCAAGCCTGTCCCATGCCACCTTTTCTCTCTACCATCTAGTCACACCAGATCCCTTACCAGATCCCTCGCGCTCTCTCTGTGGATCATGGCAGCAAACACCATTTTCTCTTATTTCCTTCCTTCCTTATCTGCAGGCCCCAGACATATACATTTTTAATCTGGCTAATCCCCTACTGATTATTTAGGTCCCAGTTTAGTCACTTCCTCCAGGAAATCTTTCCTGACCATTAACATCACCTCTATCAGCACTAGAGTGGGCTAAGATCCTTCTTGTGTGCTCCTGTATCACCTCTTATTACACATTCGCACTTATCACAGTGTAATGAAAATATCAGTTTATTCTATTCCCCTCCCCTAGATTTTAAGCTTGGGAAGGCCAGAGACCATGTCTTTTGGGTTCGCCACTGTTTCTCATGCTCCTGATGTAGAATATGAATCCTTCAACATCATTGATACAGATAGTTTGAAATTTGTCTATGCCCCTTACCTTGGGCAGAGGATGTAACATTTCAAAGATTTCATTTACTACTCTGTAAAAATGGCATACATATCATAAGATTGTTTTAAGGATTAAATTAAATAATGCGTGTGAAATGCTTTGAAGTGTGCTTAGCCCACAGTGAGTGCTTGGAGGTTAGCTGTTGTTTTTACAAATTAACAATAAAGAGTTCCACAAAGACTGGGCTTGAGGGAAATAAGATTGTATTCTGGGAGATGAGGCAGAAGCCCGTCATGAGGTGGATCAGAACAAGGGTAGATAAATTCACCTTTAAGCAACCAGTGTCTATAATCATTTCAACCCTGTGGGAATGAAGTATTGAATAGCTACTATGTATAAAGCAAATTGCTAGGTGCTGTAAGGATCCCAACAATTGCTAAGATGTGATTTCTCCCCTTAAATTGCTTAAAATACAGTATGAGAGTTAAGACGTGTTTTAGAAAAAAGACTAACGGGGGAAACGGAGTTGTTTAATGGGCATAGAGTTTTAGATTTGCGAGATGGTAAAGTTCTAGAGATCATTTCACAGCAATGCAAATAGACTACTGTAAGTGTCATAAATATTATAAGAATGATAGAAATAAGGAGCTAGGAGACTGAAAGGAAAGAAAACTCAATTCTGAGGTGATCAGGGAATCTTCAAAGAGCTTTTTGGTTTTTGTTTGTTGTTGTTTAAATATTTATTTTAGAGAGGGAGCGAGAGAGCGCACATGAGCAGGAGGGTCAGAGGGAGAGGGATAGGGAAAAAGAGAATCTTAAGTAGACTCTGTGGTGAGCACAGAACCTGATAGGGGCTCCATCCCACAACCCTGAGATCATGATCTGAGCCTAAATCAAGAATCGGACGCTTAACTGACTGAGCCACCTGGCGTACCAGGTGTTTTATCTGAACCTTGATAAACTAGATGCATGCCTAAATGACTTCTCTTTTTTCTTGTTTCTGTTCCTCTCTGCAGTCCTGTATCTAGTGTGGGCATTTATTCCTGAATCTTGGCTAAACTCCTTAGGATTAACCTATTGGCCTCAAAAGTAAGTTTAATGTTTTTCTTAAATAAAAATGTATTAATACTGTTTTTAAGGATCATAGTTTTTCCTTAAGACTACCCAAATTGTAAATATTTATCCTTTTAAGATCCATAAATAGCCATAATGAAATTTAAAGCTTTTCAGAGATTATTAATACACCTCTAATTCAAGATGGCAGGATGAACACACATCATTGTCTCTATTTCCTCCTAACATCTTGCTAAGATAACACTATACAAGAAAAATGTGGGGTTTTTTTGTTTTTTTTTTAAAGATTATTTATTTATTTATTTGACAGGGAGAGACACAGCGAGAGAGGGAGCAGAAGCAGGGGGAGTGGGAGAGGGAGAAGCAGGCTTCCAGCTGAGCAGGGAGCCCGATGCGGGGCTCGATTCCAGGACCCTGGGATCATGACCTGAGCCGAAGGCAGATGGTTAACGACTGAGACACCCAGGCGCCCCAAGAAAAATGTTTAAGGTGTAAACCCACAGGAACAAATAATGGGATAGCAGATAAGAAGTATCAAAAGAATTCAAGGAAATGGATTGCAGACAGGTGAGAGGTAACTGACTTAGTTTCCACTTTTTCCATGGTGCTACGGTAGGAAACAATGCAGGATTGCAGCTTTTCCTTACAGGCCTTGTAGAACGATTTGACTGTCTTTTATATACGTGTATTATTTTAATAAAAAAATCAGATTTAAAAAGCATGTTAACTCGGTGATGGACTCTTGAGAATGATGACTTTATAGCAGTTTAATATTTTCTTTAATATTTTCTTCTACAGATACTGGGCAGTTGCATTGCCCGTCTACTTCCTCATTACTGTAGTAATTGGTTATGTACTCTTATTTGGAATAAACATGATGAGTACCTCTCCACTCAACTCCATTCATACAATCACAGGTAAATGTATATCAAAGGGAAGTGCTGGGGGAGGGAGGAGCAAGGTATTAGCTGTTTTATCAAGAAAAGCAACTAAGAATAGGCTGTAGTAGGTGACACATGTCAGCACAAGAAAAAGAACCTAGGAGAAATAAATACAAAGTTATACCAGAGGATATGTTTATGTGGCAGAAATAAATTCTGATGAATATGCTATTTATGGCACCAGTCATCAGGTATATTTTCCCATAAAGACTACAAGTATATAATATGTTCCTTAGCAACTGTGCCTGAGAAAAACATATTTTATCCTAAACGGGCAGTGTTGATCAAACAATGGCAAATAGGTCCATGCAGACCTTGTTCAGTAGAGGGATTTGAGAGTGTGCATGCTCCTCAGGATCCTTGTATACACCTGACCCCAATTATGTAGTTAGAAGAGCCACGGCATGTTTTTGTAGTTTCTTTTTTTAATTCCCCTAAGTCTAAAAATTAAAATAAATTCCTGACCTTGCTTAGATTCTCGGAGGTGAAGGAGTTTTTTAAGTTGCTTGGTATGATTTTTAACTTTTGAAAGCCTTTTTTCATGAGCTTATACAATGTATTTTGAAAACCAGTTCTAGTATTTTTATATTTCTTT